CATCCATTGGGACAAGGGACTCAGCGTCGCGGACACGCTCACTTGTTTGTTACCTCACCCTCCTCTTCCCGCGCTCTCCAATGAGCAGGGCGAGGGGGTGGGGTGTGAGGTCGTCGCCAAAACTGCGTCTGGACCATAAAAGTACCCCAGGCGGCCGCGGCCCCTTTCACTACATCGATTGCAGTTGGGCCACGACGTCTCCCCCTTCCTCTCCCCCGCCTTCCTCACTTTGTTTTTCGTTTCCGTCTTTCTTTCGGAGTGCCGTCATCGGTTGTTTATCCGCCCACGCTCAGCCCCATCCATCCCCCCGCCCCAAACCCCCAACCCCTCCACTCCATTAGGCACATGTCGCAGCAGGCGGGAAATTCAAACCTCCGCGCGGAAGCGACACGCCGAGAGCCTTGTCGTCGACACAGCCTTCCGGCCGAGGGGATCGAAACTCCTGGCGCCATCAAGCCGCGCCCCGCCCTGCGGCGCCCATGCCACCCCGCCCTTTGTGTTGTTTAATCCATGCATTCATTTATTTATTATTTATTTTTTCACCATTAGAAATTTAAGTCGAGATTTGAGCAGAAATACACAATTTTTTTTCAGCGCTTCCTCGAGAGCGAATTTCTCCGACATAATTCTTAAGGGAAAAGATGATCCAGGCCAGATAGGACGGCGCCACCATGGCTGCCGCCGGCGGTCCTTGACACTGGCGATCGATATGTAGGGGCGGCTGCAGCAGGGCGCCCCTCCACGCCGCCCCTCCGCCGCGCCCCCTCGGCGCCCCCGCGCCCCTACCGCTGGCTGGCTGCCCCCCGCCCCCACGCGCGCGGGCTCCCTACGCAGCCAGCCCTGCCCTGCGCAGCCCCCGGTGCCCAGTCGCACGCCGGCAGTGCGCGAGTAGCCGCCCCTCCGCCCGTGTCCTCCCGGTTCCTTCCGTTCGCCCTGCCGCGTCCGCCCGCGCACCGGCCTCACCATGTTCTACGCCAGCGGCTATCACTACAACCCCTCGACGGGGAAGTTCCCGTCGGTGGTGCGGCAGACCATGGCCGTGCGCCGCGCCGTGGAGCGGCTCAAGCGCGGCGGCGAGATGCACCACCTGCGCGAGCTGCGGCGGC